TTTACACAAAAACATTATGCCCTGATTTCCCATTTTCAATGGGTTCAGGGTATAATAAAAATACAGCCAATGAATTTTGTGATGTTTACAGTGACGATACTGTATCAGTTCGTGTAGTACAACAATGTTTCGCTCGCTTCCATTCTGAAAATTTCGATGTGAAAGATGCAGCTCGCTCTAGTCGACCAATCTTTGAAAAAATCGATGAAATTATGGAAAGGATTGACCAGGACCGTTACATAAGCAGCCATGACATCGCCAATGAATTAAACATTCATCAGAAAACGGGTCATTGCGAGTCATTTAGCAAAGGCTGGCTACAAAAAGAAGCTCGATGTATGGATACCACATGAATTGTCTGTGAAAAATTTATTGGACCGATTTGACATTTGCGATTCTTTGCTGAAACGAAATGAAATTCGAACCATTTCTGAAGCGAATGGTAACAGGAAACGAAAAATGGATCAAATGGTGAAGCTCAACAAATGGTCACAAAGCCAGGATTGACGGCTCGAAAGGTAATGCTGTGTGGTTGGTGGGATTGGAAAGGAATAATCCACTATGAGCTGCTTCAGCCTGGTCAAACGATTGATTCGACACTTTACTGTGAACAACTGATGAGACTAAAGCAAGCAATCGAAAAAAAACGGCCACAACTGATCACCAGAAAAGTCATCGTGCTCCATCAGGACAACGCCAGACCACACACATCTTTGATGACCCGGCAAATACTAAGAGAGCTTGGCTGGGAAGTTTTGATGCATCCACCATATAGCCTTGACCTTGCACCTTCGGACTACAATTTATTTCGGTCAATGCAGTTTTTTAAAGAGAAACCACAAAAGTTTTACACGAATGGATTTATGTCTCTAGTGGAAAAATGGCTAAAGGTGATCGACCAAAATGGTGCATATTTGATTTAATAGTTTCTTATAAATATTAAAAAATATGGCTCAAAGTTTCATTAAAAATACGAAAAGAATTTTTCGACTATCCAATACTTTATGCGGTCTGGAATGATTGCTTTTGCCTGTTACAATTTTTTTCACATTTCCAATGGCTTCAGGGTATAACAACATTTGCAAATAAACTTAAATTTTAGTTTTAAATTAAATTTTAAATTTTTTTAAAATTTATTTCGAAGGTACTACGTAACTATATTTATATTTCTAACTTATCAATGCTTCTATGATTTTTTTCATTATTTCTTTCATGAAGATGTAGCAAGACAGACCGAAATATGTAAGTATTCGTTTGTTGACTAAAATATTTTAAATCAATGCCAAAAAAAATTTTAGTGCGGCTCACGAAATGAACAATATGATTAAAGAGAACACTACAACATCACAAAGCATAAGAAAGAACCAGAAAATGTGATGAAAGTCATAAAATATAGATTTGCAACAAATTTTTCTGAAGTTGCATATAAAAGAAAATTAAGTTTTTCTCGATTTGCCACTACAAAATTTGTATGCTTACGCTCCAAAAATGAGAAAATTACAGGGTATTTTTCGAAATGCGTCTTCCATAAAGAAGTGTAACATTTCTTTTTGGGGAATCGACAGAGGAAATCATTAGTAACGTAGCTACCTAAATTTGAAGCTTCTAGCTATTATATTTATGAGATATCAACTTTTGCGGTTCGACACGCCCCTTATGGGCGGACATATATCCGCCAAAGCCTATTCGTCATGGGAAGTCAACCCGATTCCAAATTTGAATAATCTAGCATCAATAGTGTCCAAAATATAGCAGAATTAGAAAAAGAACTACATCTTCAGGTCCGATTTGCCACGTCCTTAAAGGGCGTAGACATATAATTTTTTCATTAATCTTTTTAGAATCATATTAGCTCACGTGCAAAATAGCATGGCCGAAATAAACTGCGTTGTGACGGACGGACATTGCACCAAACCCATTGGTTTCACTATCGTGAATGAGTATAAAAACTACATGTATTCGTTTATGGTATGTTTTTGGTATATTCGAGTTCCATTTAGTATTTGCCAAAAATACTTTAAAATTATTTCTCACATTATATTAATATTACTTTAATATTAATAAAACATCCGCGAAGCAACAAGTTGCTCAGCTACTTTAATTCTTAATTGGGTATAAAACTTATATACATATGTATATACAGTGACGAACTAAATTCTTGGCGCAGCAGGCTTTTTGGCTTTCTAAACTTAATAGCATTTTGTTAAGTGTTTTATAACGTTTTTTTTTTTTTTTTTTTGTTAGAATTGGGTATTGATTAAATTATACATATATTCCAAAGGCTTCAACGTATATATATATATTTTTTTTAATTGAATAACTAAAAACAACTCGATTTTGCTGAACAAAATTATTGGCCCATAACCCTTTAATTTTTTAGTAATAGTTGATAAGAGGTCCGGCTTCGCACAAAATTATTTTTGAGTGACATCTTCACTAATTTTTCACAATTCTTCAATAAGAGCTCGTTTTAGGTGCGCCTATCCAATTCTTTCTACAAGTGTTTAATTAATTGTGGTGGGTGTGGGCGGTATTATATGCCAGCCACATTTTGACCATATGGGCGGAATGAAATATTTAGATACAAATGTTTGTCAAATTCGGACTACCATCATCCATCACCTCACAACCACCATGCTTAACTCTTGACGAAATAATATTTTTGTGAAATTCACTTTTCGACTTCCTCCAACCAGTTTTACGCCCATCCGATCCAAATTTATTAAATTGCACTTATCAGAAAATAACTGAACAGGACTTAACTCTAATAATAATTACTAGCGTAGTCTAAACGCTTGTTCTTATAAGCATCTTTAATGCATGGTTTTCGTCTAGCCACACGCGCTATTTATTTGGCCTTGTGCAGTACTCTTCGTATTGTAATTGCATGTATATCCCCATTTCTTTTGTAACTTCAGATCTGTGTTAATGTTATTTTAAGATTCACTGGCACCTTTCGAACGATTTTTCTGCATTCATGCCTGTTTAACAACTTTGGGCGAAATGAATGTTTATGAACTTTGCAGATTGCGGCTTTCTTGGAGCGCTACAACGTTTTATTATTTCTCTAACTTCTGCATAAAATATGGCTTGTCTTGCAAATGCAGGCATTTTTTCCTCTGAGCTATTGATGTATCTTTTACCTTAGGATTATTTCAATATTCACAAACTTTACATAATTGGTTTAATGGGAGTTTTAACACTGTATTACTCTGTAAAGGCCGAACATTTCATATATGTTTATGCATGTGTTAAGATACAATCACACAACAGTATTCATATTTTAAATTCACTATATTTTACTTTTATCGTTTTATTACTGAAAAGATTGTATTTTGTGTATAGTTTGATTTATTTTATCACTTTTTTTATTTATTTTTTTGAATATCCAACACCTATTTTATTATATGATATACTTTCGCATTGGAAATTTGAAGTATAATTTCTTTTTTATACCCTGAACTCATTTAAAATGGGAAATCAGGGCATAATGGTTTTGTTGTATACATATGATTTATAACTGGTATATTGGCATAGATCACAATAGTATTAAAATGAACAACGGTTTTTTTATTTTCACTATTATGTTATAGGTATTAGAATATACATACGTATGTATATTGCGCCTAATTTCTAAGACGTTCTTTTTTTGATCTTATTGACCCTAATATTTTTTTGTTTTTACCATAACAATTATTATTATATTAATATTCATATGATTTCACTTTTGTGCTCACTATTGATATGTACATACACAGGTATGTATATGTACATATGTATGTATGTATGTCGGAACGAATTGAATTGTGTGACGTCGGTGTTTGAGAAGAAATTGATCCGGCGATTTATTTCCGATGCGTTGCGCTTCGACAAAAAACCACAATACATTCATATGTATGTATATTTAAGCTTAGATTAGTATTGGCGCCTTTGAATGCAGAGAATTCATAGTGTCAAACGAACGAACGAAAGGAAATAGTTTAAACGCGGTTTATAATAGCACGAAGGTATATTCTCTCTTTCGTACGCGACGTATAGCAAACAAATTTTGTTTTATCGTCAACGGAGTTAATGCAGGTAGTAGATCGGTAGTTATCGAGTATTTTCCACTCACTTGGCGATCACAGCGTTGCCAGATTTTCTGGATTCATATTACAAGTACAGCTTTAATTAATTAAAATAACATGTATATTCAATACAATTGATAAATCAAGAAACGGAACTAAAAGGCTAAGTAATAATTATACTATATAAGTATAAAGCCATCTTGCAATAATTTCAACAGCCTAAATATACTCACACAATCGAAGTTTGTATGGATATACATATGTATGTAGATGTATATATGTATGTATGTATATGTACATATATACAAAATATCAAGCAGACACAACATACACATAAATAGTAAAAACAAACAAATGCAAGTATTTTGAATGACTCAGGAATTGAATGCAGTATACTGTATACAAAATCTAAAATATTTATTTTTTTATTTTGATTATATATATGCATATGTATGCGCATATGAACATACTTTTATACCTACATATATATTTGGTTTGCTTGTAAGCGTTAGTGATAACATATGTCACATGCGTATTTAAATTCACTTTCATGCTCTTGATATATTCACTAATTCACAGAAACCACGTCAAACATATTGCATTTGTGATGGTTAAAGCCAAAGCTATTATATATACATACATATGTATGTATGTAACGTAGACAGCACGTTGAATTTATTTAACAGTCCGCGGAAGAAATCCACACGTACGAGCCGCGTTAGAGTATGTAACTAACTGTGGGTTTCTCACTCAACTATCAATCTCGTTTGCCCACCTAGCCAACATTAACAGACCAACCAAAGAGAGCGGCTTTATAACATGTTAACAGATGTGTGTGCGTGGTTCTCAACGTTAACAAAACGGGTCCATTAACATTTGTCTACCAACTAACATTACAGCACAGAACATCGAGCCCATCTGTACTCGAGCTTCAGTTAAATAGCAATATTACTTGTTTCTACGTTTGTTTGGTATACTTTTTCTTTAAATGAAGTATAAGTTTATATTTCCAAGACTTTTCAATAATACTGAAAAGACAATATAGTACATTCGCATTCCATGAGAAGAGAAATCATATAATTTTAAATTATGGTCGATTACCATAACAATCATCGAAGAAAATCAATTAAATCTTGAGCCGAAGGCCCCAGTTGACAGTGCTTAATATTAAAGCAAAATCAAACATTATAATTTTAGTTAAAATTCATAATATATTTGAACCATTTCCCAATTGGTATATATGTAAAGTATTTTCAAATTCATTTTGTGCAATAAAAATAGAATGCAAACAGCGATTTTGCCGCAAAATTTTGAATTTCTACTTAAATAAAATTAGAAAATACATTTTCTCCCAATTCTCCATGCCCAATAGGCGTAGATATTCCTGTATATTCCAATCTTACTGATTTAGCGCAACCTGAGTATAATACCACATTTAAATTGCTTAAAATATAGATCCGAGTTTATTCATAAATATTTTATAGTTGAATAATTTATCGATCTTCACGTGCAATATTTCAGAGCTCTAATTTTAAAACTGTATATGAATATAAAGTTTTACAAGTCAACTTTAATTGAGAATATTTACTAAAACGATAAAAATCAAAATTGCCTCAAACTATATAAAAACTACTCACAAAAACTCAAATTAATTAAATTCATATATGTATCTGCATATAAATATGTATTGTTTGTAGATCTTATAAATACAAATGTTTTCTGTTATTTAAATTTCCCGATACCCCTTCAGATAAGAAAATGAATTTCAATTCCCAATGCCCCCAACAAATATAAGAAGACATAGCCAGTAAAGTCTTATACTACCTGGATTTTCGAATTTATTTGTATACGAATCAAACACAGCCTTTAAAGTCTTATATTGTCCATGTTTTCGAAGTTATTTTGTCATGAACCCTAATAGATTTCCTTGAAAAAGTACTAATAGCTAAAATAAATCAAAGGTACTTTCACAAAATAATGATAATGATAAAATGATATACCAGAAGAAGAAATAACATACCCAAAAAGTTACATTTCTTATATTTTCAGAGTTACTTGGTCCACAACCCAAATAGATTTTTATTTTAAGTCCTTGACAAGAGGCAACAATCTATTGCCGAAATTAATTATTATAGTTGAAGACCGAAAGACAGTCAGACAGACTATGTGTGCGATTAACAACTTTATCTTTTTATCCCATTGAAAATGGGAAATCTGGGTATAATGTTTTTGTGAAAAAGTATGTAACATTCAGCTGGAAACTCTTAAGTTGCCCGACCACTATACTTCGTATTTGCTCGGCTTGGTCGCTGGAGGTTCGAGCAGTTAAAAATACTGCATGATAAAAACAGTGCGCTGTGAGCGCTCAACCAAAATGGTCCCGATTCCGTATGAAACACTGTGCCTTTGTCCTACTCTCTTTCTTTCAGTCCCTGTCTCTCGCTCTCTATGGTCTCTCAAATGATCACTCTCAGCAGCACACAAAATTATTTATACCCTGAACCCATTGAAAATGGGAAATCAGGGTATAATGGTTTTGTTAAAAGTATGTAACAGGCAGAAGGAGGCGCGGCAGACCCCATAAAAAATATATATTCTTGATCAGGGCGACAAACTGAGTCGATTTGGCCCTTTCCGTCGGTCCGTCTGTTCGTATGTATGAACGCGTCGATCTCAGAAGAGCTAGAGACTTCAAAATTTTTTTTTTTTTTAATGTCCGTATATAGCGCGCGCATATCAAGTTTATCACTAAACAACGATAACTCAATCCGATATTTTTTATCGATAAAAACCCTATCAAAAATCAGTTAAAAAATTATATCTCCCACATCTTTAAAACTAGAGTGTCCAAATTTTAAATATGTTTGAAGATGCATTTTATACAACTTCGGTTTTTGTTGAAATTTAAACCTACGCATACAAACAAACATAAGCACGCACACACACATATATACAGGCGATTGCGCTTGGGCTGCGCTGCAGTGTTGGCAATATTTTGAAAATTTATTTATTGAATAATTTAATTTCTAGACGTACAATCTTAATGAAACATTCAGAACGTAATCATAATTTTTAAATATATGTATATACCGAAGTAGAGGAGCTCGAAGACGACCTGTCAGGTGCCGAAAGTTGAAATTTTTTAGTGGAAAGTCCCTGCTACCGTTTGTAAGACGCACGGTTGCAGGGCGGGAAATAAAGCTTCTGATAGACACAGGAGCATCTAAAAACTACATAAAACCCTTCCCGAACTGGCACATTGGGGGCCATTCGATAGCTCATTTCAGGTCAAATCGATCCACAGGCACAAATAAATCGAGCAAAAATGTCTCATCCAACTTTTGGTAAACGGCCAAATAGACCTAAACAACAATATAAATAAAATAAATATGACCAGGGAATGGAAAAATTGAGTTCATAGCATGCCAACAAGTGAATCACTTCAAAATAAATAGCGCGGATGTCCCCGCCGTGATAAGACCAACTTTCAATCGTATGATTGACCGGATGATTAACGCCTTTGGGGGGAGGCCCAGTATTTTACCACACTGGCCCTAAATCAGGATTTCATCAGATAGAATTATCAGAAAGGGACTGAGAAAAAATGCATTCTCTGTAAACAATGGGTTAAAGAACGCCCCTAGTATTTTTCAGAGGGCAATTGACAACGTCCTCAGAGACCAAATTGGGAAAACTTGATGTTGAATCCAGACGTCAGCCGATAAAGTACAGACTATAAAGGATTTCCAACCGCCTAAACCTTGTTTAGCCTTCGATCATTTCTCGGTCTAGCAAGCTACTATAGGTGCTTTATTGCAGATTTCGCCAGCATATTAAGACCCCTAACGGAGATCATGAAAGGTGAAAACGGTAAAGTAAGCGCCAACCACTCGAGAAAAGTTAAGCTCGAACTACCGGAAGTCGAGCATCTCTATTCAACAATTCTAGTTAGGAACAGAATGATAATTACATATCTCAAAGATCTAATTCTATCCGTAACACTTGCCAAAATAAATTTGACTAGCCCACTTATCTTAGACAGCATTGACATTAAAGAATTGTTAAATGAGCAATTAGCAATTGTAGTAGGCCTTTTGGAGGTATCTAGCATTAAGCCATTACAAAACTCCGAACTTTTATATTTTCTCATAAAATATCCCCTACCTAAGTTAAATTGTAAGAAAATATACATTTTTCTGTATACTACTGTGAGCACCACCTTCTGTAAAAGTCTACAGAAAGCATCGTGTGCCCAGCAACTGGTGTCAGGAACCGTCGCACAATGCGCCACACGCCCCGGGCATCTAAAGATTGAGGATGGCATCATTATTATCAACAGCGCAACAGTAAATGTGGTGGACAACACTGGAGGCAGTCAACAAATTTCGGGAACTTTCCTGGCCACTTTCGACGATTACATCTCGCTTAACGGCACCCGTTATGATAATCAACGGGGCATCATAAAAATGAAACCTGCCGTTTCTACGTCGGCCATAGTAAACATCACCCTTTTCAGGGAACACTTAAGCTTCCCATTCTTGCACGATCTCAGCCTCAGAAATGTCCGGCACATCGGAGATCTCAAATCAGACATATCGTCAAGGTCGTTCGGCTGCCTAATCCTCATTGCTCTTCTCCTCCTTCTCTTAAGCGTATGGAAACTATACCGCCGAAAAACAATCATGAAAGTTGCATAACCAAATGCACTTGTGCATGAGAATGACAATAATGACCAGGTCAGCATAATCATGCAGAAATATTTAAAAAGAGATCAGATTACCAAAGTATAAACAACGTAAGCGTCGCCGCCGATTCCGTTGTAAATGCTCAGCTAGCAACAACAAATATAAGCAAAACAGGCATTTGCATATGCCAAGGATAACTTTACATTCAGTCTTAAGATTCATTCAGAACAAAACAGTAGTATTTATTATCAATAAAGCTAAATTATAACATCTAAATTATAACATATATAAATATCTTAAGACATTTTTGTTTCAGTGATTTACAGTTTTTATTGTGCTTTGTATCCAAAGATATATGAAATATAAATAAAACCATAATTCGCACGGCCGGAGTTGCTGATAGAGCAATTGGGTCGGACGCCGAAGTAGCCTGTTCGTCGACCTGTCGGTCTGCCGGCCCGGCTGCCGGCAGTGGCAGCTATAAAAATCCATTTATTTTACTTTAAGTTTTAGTTTTAGATTGCTACTCAAACGACTCAACCGAGTTGTAAATAAACAAGTAAGAAAGCTCTAGTCGAGACTGTTCGACTACGAGATCCCCCGAGCCCTACAAGCAACTGATATTTCAATAATTAGCACACACACACACACACACACACACACATCATATGTACATACACAGTAAATCTGAAGTCTCCACGTCTAATAGTATTCCAATGAGGCTCAAAAA